GACTACCTCCCATGTTTGGTTCTTCCGGAGAGATTCCATCTCTTCCTCTATCGCAGCCAACAAACTCTCACAATCCTTGTCCCGAATAGCTTCTTTTAAGGTGACCGGCTCATCATCCTCCACCGAGAGTGCATACTCAACCAAATTTACCTGCCCATAGTGCCTCAGAGGCTGGTCTAACCCCAACTTCTGAACCTGCTTGTATGCTCGCCTACTCAACCAAATTTACCTGCCCATAGTGCCTCAGAGGCTGGTCTAACCCCAACTTCTGAACCTGCTTGTATGCCTCTTTTCCCAAGTGTCTCCATGATTTTTCACTTGAACATGACTAGAACCTGGTTAGTCTTTAGGTTATATTTCAATCACTGGGACTTTGAAATCCTAACAGTCCCAACACCATCATCCTCGGGCGCCCTAGCTTATGATAAAGCTATCATGGATTTCTCATCAAATGTCACATCTCTGCTGATCATGAACTTGGAATCTTTTGTACACCAAAGGCGATAGCCTTTTACGCCATTTGCATACCCCAAGAATATTGCATTCTTGGCTCTCGCATCAAGCTTTCCCTCGTTGACATGATAGTAGGCTGTACATCCGAAAATCCTGAGCCTATCATAATCTGCATGCTCCCCTGATCATACCCGATAGGGTATATCACCATCCAATGTTGAATGTGGAGACCGATTCACTACGTAGCAAGCTGTAGCAACCGCTTCTGCCAACGATTCTTTGCCCAAACCAGCATATGATCACATACTCATTGCTTTCTCCCGCAATGTACGGTTCAGTCTATCTGCGACTCCATTCTGCTATAGTGTAGACCTGACTGTCCAGTGTCGAGCAATACCCTCCTGATCACAGAACTTCTTGAAAGCACCATCTGTATACTCTGTACCGTTATCAGATCTCAGTGTATTTAGTTTCCTACCTGTTCTGTTCTCAACCATTATCTTTCACTTCTTGAATATCTCAAATACCTCATTCTTATGCTTAAGAAAATAAATCTAAGCATACCTAGAATGATCATCTATGAAAGAGACAAAATACCTGGAACCGCCCTTGAAAATTATCGGAGCCGGACCCCACACATTTGTGTGCACATAGTCTAATATACCTCTGCTCTTGTGATTGCTTTTCAAGAATTGGGTCCTATGCGCCTTCCCGTACACAAAATACTCGTAAAAGTCCATGCAAGGTTTCTTCATTTTCTTCAGCAAACCTTCCTTACCAAGCAGATCTAGACCCTTCTCTGACATATGCCCAAGCCGCCTATGCCATAACCGGGTGTGCTCACATGGGTCTCCACCACTTCCATCAGTTCCAACCGCTGCATCTCCTGTCACCG